GCTTCTATGGAGGGAAAGGGATGTGCAAAAAACATTAGGGAGGGGTGCAGCCTATATACGGACACTAGGGATACTGTTTCTTCAGCGCCGCGATGGCATGACTCTGCTGCACTGACGAAGGTGTTGGAATCCTGGCGTCAAGATGGCGAGCTCGCGGAACGAGCGCCACAGGTCCCGCCCCCCGACGGATACCCGCGCCCTTATCTACCCCTATTCTACTGTGTATATAAGGTCTATTGTATGTACTATGTACGGCACGCGTTTGCACCGGCCAAACGCGAATCCCATTTGTGCCCGCTTGCCCTCGAACTTCTTCAGAAGGTGCCTGGCTAGGTGCAGAGCAGGGTGTGAACTGTCAAGGAGGTCTTGAGGGTATGGGGCACGAGCGTGGACGTGTCGGTGCCTTAGAAAGATCCAGCAAGATATGCACTAGACAGGAGAACAAGGAGTGCGTTGTTGTGCTCAAAGGAGCGCCGCCGTGCACACCGCCATGCGCGCTTGTAGTATAACTCTATCGTGCTACTGGTCCCATGCCCAATTGTTCTCCCCATCTGCCTGCCTACTACGTTGTCCACTGAGCGCATCTCCACCCCATTCAGAGCCATCCTTCGTATTCATCGCACTGGCAGCATCGAAAGTGTGTGCGGAGAGATTGCTCATCGACGGCACTGGGAGGAAGGATGACGACGCCGGACTCGGAGATGCGAGGATGGGATTGAGCTGTGCCTTCATGCGCAGACGTTCCAGCTCCAGTGTGTGCTTCTGCTTGAGCTTCATCTCCATCAACTGTGTTTTGGCGCGCTGTGCCTCGATCTTCGCCTGCAGCTTCATCTTTTCGAGATCGGTCTTTGCAAGCTGAACATCGAGTTGCTTTTGGCGCGTCTCCTCTTCGGCCATCGCGATCTCGTTGAATTGCTCACCGTACTTCAGTTTCTTATTTCCCTTACCAGATGAGCCCTTATTCGCAGGCGTAGACGTGCCAGATCGAGCGGGAGTCTTCTTTTGAGGGGTTGGCATAGGTGCGTTGTTCTTGCTAGATGTGGAGGAGACTTCGGAGCCAGTCGTACGCGAGGCCTTCTGAGCAGCGATGGCCTTGTCGAGCTCATGACTGTCTTCCTCTTCTGTGTCCAAGCTCAATGTCTCGTCCAGCAAGGAGAGACGGCGCTTGCTGGGTGCCTTGTCTGTGAGCGGGTGGGGGTTGTGTCCGTCTGGAATGGTGCCGAGACCAGTGCTGACACCATTGGTGTGGTCGCCGCCATCGCTGTCACCTCCTGGGGTGAGAATTGCATCGATGTTGACAGGGTCCGTGGAGTTGCCAATACCGGTGCGGATGATGTTTGGACGCTCCATGATAAGAGCCTTCATGTTCCACAGATACGGAAACTTTGCCTTGATGATGGCTAGTACACTATGTGAGTAACTCTACACCTACCAAACGAACATCATGCACGCACCCCATTTGTTGACCAACACTGTAGACTGGCTCATGTCGATCTCATCCTCCTCTGAGATGCCTTTGCCAGTCTCACCCATCTCTTCCAGATACTCGC